CGCATAGTGGAGCGATTGGAGCACTACAAAAGATGACATCAATAGCCGATGGATTTCGGTTACGATAATTAATTGTAGTGAAGCTTCCGTTGTTAAGGACACATAGATCAAATTCATCAATTAAATCGTATAATTGATGACCCTGACTTTTCGTGGTCATACACCCAAATGCCACATGGTGAGCGTGGAAATATCCAGCGACATATATTGGCTTAGGCAAATCTCTAATTATATCACGCAGTTTACTTATTCTGAAGTTACCATTCGAGGGAGGACAGTATACACATAAAATCGTTAAGTGTTTACCACTTACATATAACGATAATGCTATAGTCCGAAGACATTCGGACTAAGTAAAAGTAAAATCTGGTTTGAATAATATTATATTTAAAATACGGTTTGATCAAAATTGCTACTCCACCGTGCACATTTTGAGCATTATGATAGTGGGAATTATATCCCGAAATTTTAAAATGCCGAGAGTATCTTTAAGCCAAGTTTCACTGAGTAGACATATATCAACATTTTGCTCAGCTAAAAATTTAGACAATAAGGGTTTTTTCCTATGTATACTTGGAATATTGTACTGAGCTATACATAACTGCTGTATGTTCTGTACTGTACTGTCCATTAATGTGACAGATTTTTTAAAAGTAAGTCTTTAATGAACAGTGTAGTCACAGGTTCATTATCTGTTTTATTACCCAATTCAACTAAAGTTTGAACCATTGCCATCAGAATATTCTTATTGTTTGCAATTTGAGCCTTAAGTTGAGTTTGGTTCAAGATGGGTTCAGGCTTCAGTTCTGTTTTATTTACGTTATTTACAATTTTTACATTTTTATTTAATTTATGTACATTTTGGCTTGTTGATGGTAGGGTCTTAACAGCGCTGCTCGACTGTGCCGATAAAGACGGAAAATCAGATGACGTAATTGTATTAGCCACAGAAGCATAAGTAATGTTACCCTTTTTGTCAAGTATTTTTTTCATTTTTATTGGGCAAGATTTGGAAATGCATGAGGGAAAGACACAACACAGGTTCTCTTTTTTATCGCAGTCTCTGAAATTATGCTCCCCAGCACATATCGAGCAACGTTGTTTAACGTTGTTGGTGTCTTCAAGTTGTGCTTTGTTAAAAAGTCTGTATTTGTGATGAATGACCACCCTGGGACTTCCAGTTCATTCATTTTGATAATTCACACAATGTACAATTATTTACACAGACTAAAATAAGTTTTGGTAATATTTACACAGGATATTTTTAACGAAAAACAGTAAAAATTATTAAATCGACCGCCTCGTTTGGAGTTCCCGCCTTTTTCCCAATTTCCATGTTGTTTAAACTAGGTGTTGCCTAGTCCGTGATTGTCACCAAGTTGCCACTGTTTGTTAAGTGTTTGCCAAAGCTTGCTGTTTTTTTTTGGAGATTTTGATGACAGCTTAACCTAGCGGACAGTTGATGACGACATCCACTCAAGTTCATAAGGCACCCAAGCGATCAAAATAACTTGAGGTTTATATCGACTTCAAAGCACTTTTTTCGTCGTTTTCTCTAATAGTTCACACGCGCGGACACTTAATTCACAAAATCGCATCACTTTTACGAATCGAAATCTACTTCAAACCATTATTCAAGTGACAAAATAGGACCAACAATCCGTCTACGGCCAAGTTCCCGCCAAAACTTCGCCAAAGCTTGCCTATAGGTTCGACCATAGAGGTTAGAGAACAGGAGAACGATCGCCGTAGAAAATAGTGTCCCAGAAATATGGACACCATAAGTGAGACCATGGAGGTTAAAGAACAGGAAAACTCTCCTTGAAAATTGTAGAATTTATAGCAGCGCTGACGTCGTTGAGTAGTGACTGCGAAGTTAGCCGTTTGAGTACAAGTAGATTTCCGCACATTGAAGTATGGCAAAAATTGCTGTCTGGAAGATAGAGGTGAATCTACTCAAATCCATACAGAGTTTGAACTTCAGAAACGCCTGCGTGTTGCTTTATGCTAACAAATTAAATATCTGTGAAGAATATAATGCACACAATAACAAATACGCTGGACTAGTTATTCATTACAAAATGTGTGTGCTGATTTTTTGTACCGGGAACTAAAATTAACATAATATGCCAAAGTCTGTTGGGCTGTTTAAATTGTATCTCTGTATTTTAAATTTTTAAACGAAAAAATATGTTTGTTTTTTATAGGATGTGGGTGACAAGCGAGCTCACAGTCCAGCGATGGTAAATAGATGCTGTGGCCCACATACATCTACATTTATCCTCGATTAAGAATTAAAATGCAGATGCGCTAACAGCCTTGAGGACTAAGATTAATGCTTCGTTTCGTATTCAGTGAGAGTGGCTCCTGAAAACGAAGCATTAATCTTAGTCCCCCGGTCGAGCCGACCCATTCGTAGTTCAACCATAATATAGCTGCTGCATGGCTATACCACGTGTAAAATGTTTTGATTTTAGTTGTATAATAATAATACTTTTTAGTAATAATATGAGTATGCGTAATTTGTAAAACTTGTTAATAAAAGGAAAGTGGAATAATATGCCACAAGTAAGTGAATTTACAGCTAGTATTAAAAAATTGAAATTATTTGATAATATAGGTACTTAAAAATGATTTCCAACATTTTTGATTTTATATTACTGTGTTTCGACAAACATTAAAATTCAATAGGGTTGTCGGATTCCTTGTCTATAATATTTATTGATGTTCTTTTTTTTCAAAATTCGTTGTTCAACGTCATTGCGAATTACATCTCGGTTTTGAAGTTGCCGAGATTCAGCCACACTGTTCATAACGCTATCGCAACTTCCCGTAGGAAACACCCCAAATAAAGTCTCAGCAGGAGTTTTCCCAGTGCCTTTGTTAATTGTGTTGTTCAACGACCATTGCACTTTAAACAATACGGTATCCCATTCATATTCAGGATGTCCATGATTAGCAGAAGCGAGTGATTCTACGAGAGTTTTATTATATCGTTCGTTCTGATAGTTTGCTCGAGGTGTAGCGTCTGCATTTAATATGCGTTTCATACCTTTCCCAATTACATATTTGCTAAATTCATTACTATAAGTAAACCACACAACTGGCGGATCGCCCGCGGGGTAAGAAGTTTGTGGGCGCGGAGAGATTTTAGAGAGTTTCGGAATGAAGTGCGGGGGGCGCGCGGCAGGGAGCTCGAGTGACACTTTTCAGTGCGCTCGCGGCTTTTGCAGCGGGCAGTGGGTTTATTGGTTACGGAAACTCGGAACAAAACGCACACGAGATTATAACCCAAGATGAATGCTTAAGATGGACGCTCTAAGATTTTTGCCAAGCAAATTAACAAGCAAGCGAAACAATTGGTGTACAATGTACATTCTTTTTTTAAACTAAGAAAACAAGATCAATCGTCTACGGAATATCAACAAGACGTAAACTTGAATAAATTGGTCGCGCAAGCAACAGAAATATCTTTAACATCTGTGAGTAAAATTGTCAAAAAAGAAAATGATCTAAAACGCGAACGAAATAGCGTGGTTTTTAAATCCCCAAAAAAATTAAACAGGTACGAAAGAAAAAGATTGACATAGATAATTTTACTGAAGGAGTAGTGAGACGAAAAATAACTCAATTTTACACTATTTACAAGAGCATTCCCACATTAAAAACATTAAATGCTTAACTTAAAGAAGAAGGAATTTTAAATTGCGGTCGAGAATATTTGAGACTATTACTGCACAAACTTTGCTTTAAATTCAAAAAATGTCAGTCGAAGAGAAAGCTGCTTATTGAACAACCAAACATTGTTTCTTGGCGATGGAAATATCTGGATGCGATACAAAACATCGAAGAGACAAGAGATCCATTGTTTACCTCGATGAAACATACGTCAATTCCTCCTTAAATGTTCCATCGTGCTGGCAATCAAAAGAAGAACGCGGAATGCTGGCTCATATTGGCAAAGGACCGAGATTAATTATTGTACATGCAGGAGGCCAGGCTGGATTTGTTGACGGAGCTTTTAATTTTTAAATCAAAACTTAAAATTGAATTAAACTTAATCACTGTACTGTTATATGTGAAACTATATACACACACACTTTTAGTTGAGATTAACATAGACACAGGACGTATTCACATACAAATTTATTACTAATTATTAAACAGGAATAAAAGTCACTGACCTTGGTTTATATAGTAAACTCACTTTAGCAGTCTTCTTTGCGTATACTCCAAATCGACTTTAAGACAGGATGTCTTGCGATTACGTGTGGGTTGTTTCGTCCCACTTCTGTATCCGTCAGCTTTTCTCCAATAAAACCACGACAAGTCACTTAGTTAACTGTTTAACCACTATGTTCATTGTTTAATTTCATTCTTAAATTGCATATAATACTTTATAACACACTATACTTTACTTTCACAAAGAAGACTATATATTAATTTAACTTTACTCACAACTTTAGAATCACCTTATTTCACAATAGACTTGACTATTATAACCTTCTCATCACCACTGCTCGTAATCAACTGCCGCGAGCGTCAAGTGTACGCGCTTTTATATTGTGACTCAATTCTAGAATTAATGAAGGTAGTTTGAAATAGATTCGTATTAATATTAATTGTGAAGATTGCTAAGTAATATTGCATAATGATCATTTATCTAACAGCTGGGTTGAGCTGTTGTCAAAATCTCCCAAAAACTTCACAATGTGACGCATCAGCATATTGTAAAGAAAAATATATATAGAAAAATATTCTGAAAGAAATTACAGGTTCAGAAAGACTAGAATCCAGAGCTGTAAAGCCAGTTATATAAATAAAAAATATGACATCTGTCATATTATTATACGTGGACAGAAAAACTTGTTATATATATATTATATATCCTCGCTACAATATTCTTCATTTCAATTTCTATAAACTTATAAATAACAAGGAACTTTTTCATTAATTACAACATAATGCCTTCTTATGAACTAGCGTTATTGTTACGAGCTATGCCAAAACAAGAATTGAAATCGACTCTTAAACGCGTATCTCATGCTATTTTTAATCGTGGTGGTATTATCAGAAATATTGAAAATTTAGGATTTCGGGCGATGCCATATAAAACTAGTGCTCACGGTTTGGTTCATCGCGAAGCAAATTATTTTGTTTTTAAAATAGATACAGCAACTCAAGCTGTTGCAGACCTTAAAGAAGAATACAGTAGAGATGTGGATATAATAAGACAGCGGGTGTTTAAAGTCCAAAATGATGGTGATCATTCATGTACGTTAGAAGAGGAGATGCTACCGCCGGCATATCGCGAGGAAGTACAAAAGATGATAGAAGTAGGAAAAACTCAAATAAATCGCTTTACGCACAAATTCAAATATAACTCGGGATTAGATTATTATCCTTTCCAAAAATAAATTGAAAATTATTATTGTTTCTTAAGTAGGTACTTGCATTTAGAATTATTAATTAATTTAAAATAAATTATATAATATGCTTAGTGTTTTTATATTTTCATATTGTTTTCTTTATTACTTTAAAAAATGTCATTACATGAGGCTTTATGGATATATGACCTATTTCATGCCTTGTCACAGTGATGTTTAAGTAGGTGTGGATTGGTCAGAGGTGGTAAGTGAAAGGGAACATTGCTATTTAAATAGCAAAGGTGGCAGCTCTGATTGGACTTGGTGATTCCACATATGCCGAGGTAGAAATGATGGGGATGGTTTAGCTTTAGGTAATCTGAAATCATGATTATTGGGTTCAAATCTTATGGTTGAAGGGGTTGGTAAAGATATAACAAATGCTAAAACAAAGTGCTTTATGTACTTTGTTTCTGTAAGTTTTGAGGTATAATTCTGAAAAAAAAAAACATAAATGAAATTAAACTCTACCATAAAAACTTAACTAAAAGCGTTTCCAAAGTCAAAAGGCAAATTAAATAATAAAATAATTCTTCATTTCGTGTTATTAATTTCCAACACAATGTAGTATTGTTCTATAGAATAAATGACTATGACTATGACTATAAAAATTAAGAGTAAAGTTACAGCCTATATACGTCCCACTGCTGGGCACAGGCCTCCTCTCATTTATGAGAGGTTTTTAGGGCAAGGAATAGTCCACCGCGCTGCCCCAATGCATGTTGGCGAACTTCACATGTCTTCGAAATATTTTTTCTTATTTCTCAGACATGCAGGTTTCCTCACGATGTTTTCCTTCACTGCCGAGCATATGGTAAATCAGCGCTTAAAATTGCAATTAATAATTTCATTGGTGCCGGCGGGGATCGAACCTGGTTTGATTGCATATTCTGAAATTTACAGCGAGCGTTAACCATCTGAGCTACCACGGCTCTTATGACAGAATGTTTCATATCATTGAATTAAATTAAATTTTAGTATTAATGTTTTAAAATTATGTTTTCTTTCAAATAATGTATTATCACTATAGGTATTTAGTAAGGTCCAAGTTTCTGGCCTGGACTATAAAATGAAGGATTAAATCTCAAACCACTTTAATTATTTTTTAAAATTTTTCCCCTTAAAATATGGCTAAACTGCTGACTGCCTCATCATCAGATGTTTAAATATTTTCCTCATAAGTCTAATTTCAATTTTGAGAATAAATAATAGTCGCTTGGGGCCATGTTGGGGTTATATGGTAGATAGTCGAGCTCAGTGAATCTGCATTCCTTTATGGTAGGTAGCCTTTGAAACACACGATCTGTGGACCGGGGCAATGGCATAAAGCAACAACCCTTCATGACAACTTCCCTTGACGTTTTTCTTTATTGGCAAGCAAGTAAACATAGTAATGGCCTGTTACTCTTGTGTTACATTCTTTAAAATCCACCTGTAAAATTCCTTCAGAATCCCAAAATATTGTAGCCATAATCTTTCTTCGAGATTGATTCTTTTTCTTTTTTTGGCAGCCGTGAACTCGGACAATGTCACTTCATTGATATCTTTTTAACAGAGAATCATGACAAAGGACCATGGTTTCATCATCCGTAACCACAGTTTAAAGACAACAGTTGTGAAACGCCTCCTTTTTTTACTCAATGCTGCCGCCCACGTAGGTATTTTCTATTTACACCGTCGCATTGTCGCAAATATGCTAGGGGTTGTCATGAAATTGAGAATAAAATAATTTTGTAAATTGTAATACTCATTTATTAACATTATGTATAATGTCCTCCAGACCGGATTTCGGTCACAGCGGCCAGTCTCAAAAGGGAAACTAGCCATCGGCACAGGACAGGGTTATAGTGCCCAAGTGTATGTGCAAGCACAGGTGCACTCTCTATTCCCTCACTCTCATAATCCGATCGGATGGTAAACCGACACGACCAGAGAGATTCCGGGCAGCTACTGAGAATTTCCTGATGGAAAAACTCAATAATAGATATCTTGGCCCGACCCGAGATTCGAACCCAGGACCTCATGATCGCAGTCGCACTACAACAACCACTAGACCAACGAGGCAGGCAACATTATGTATAATTATAAGTTAAAAAAATTTATTGAACAAAATCATTTGTTATTACTAAAACAAAAAATGCATTTACAAGTCTTGCACTGCCAAATATTTTCGTGACATTTTCTTTTTATAGATGTTTCCAGTTATCGATTGTTAAATTTAATTACGTAGTGTACGTTGCATTCGGATGAACAAATTTATCAAAAAAAAAAATGAATTTGGAAAATTGATTGTCATTTGAATTTAACCTTACTTGTAACTCATATAATTATAACCATTGAGTTATACAAAACTATGTGTAATATGTATATAAGTCAATGACTATAACAGTAATTTACCATTGTAGACATAATATTTTTGAAAACGGCACTTATAATTTGTAACGAATATTTTAAAACACGCTCGCATCAACCGCATATTATATCCGGGGGCACGGCAGTGCCCCCGCCAAGTCGAGGAAAAAAGCGGCACGGCCGTACCATACTTTTCTCGAAGCAATTCAGGCCCTATAACTTCGTAGTCAATAAAACTAGAAGCCTGAATTTTCAGTAACCAAGTAGGCATAGTATAAACATGGTATATTTCAAATTTAATTCAATTTGAACCAGCAGTTGAAGAATTATAAGTAGTAAGTTTCTTAGTTTTGTCACTCACTGACTGACAGATCATCAAAACTCTAAGGCACTTCTAGCAGACATAGAGGCTTCAAATTGAGAATACAATTAGTGTTTAGTGTATAAATTAAGGGAAAACTAAAATATAGGTTAATTTCGGTCCAGTTTTCTAGATACACCAACTGCATAAATAACTTTGTAATCCCATATAAATATATAGAAATACAAAGTTACATTTGCATTGAATGAATCAGTGTACCTGTATATGTATCAGGTGTACCTATCTACGCCTGTGTACTACGTCGTTAGTATTCAAGAAGTAGAAGGTACCGAAAAGGTAAAAAAGTAGGACTCTTATCTTACATTTTTACCTAGTCTTATCTACAAAAATAAATGAGATGCCATCAAAAACATAACTTGTAAAAAAACCAAGTCTCGCAACTCAGTTCTTCTACCGTAAAAAGTTGTGAGATCCATGTAATACCAAGTTGGTTAATTTATTCAGTTCCTACTTAAGGGTCCTTATGTTTTAAGTTATTACGTAATTAGCTAAAAAGCTTAAAAATTATTTATGTTTTTAATATATAGGTTGACTTGGCAATCGCACTAAGCAATCCAATTTAATGTAATATGTATTACTTGTGAGATACATTGTGTTTATATGCGATGGCCAAGTCAATCTAAATCTATATATTTAAAACATAAAACACATTGATATGGTTACTATAAAATGTTGTTAGGTTAGCTAAATACGTAATAACTTAAAACAGAAGGTCCCTTAAGTAGGAACTGAATAAATTAATAAATATAAAAAATATTTTTACGGAAGAATAACTGAGTCGCGAGACTCGTTTTTTTTTACAAGTTATGTTTTTGATGGCATTCATGTTTTATCCAGCAGACTTAGTGGAATGTGCACTAGCGATGGGCGATTATTACTAAAACTAATCGAACTAGTCGATTGTTCAGTTTAGTCGAAAAAAGTCGATAACATTCAATGTTGGTCGATTGCTATCGACCAACAGCATGCGGCGGGCAACAATGACTGACACGGCTACCGTATCAACTTTATCTATAGTATGTTAGTATGTGCCAAATCGATTGAGAAAAACGGACAATGACCTCAGATATGAGCCGAGTGTCAAAAGGCATAACTTACAAAATCTCAATTTAGATGTGATATTGATATTATTCACACTTCTAGGTCAGCACATATGTTTTTTTTTGTTTCTTATATTTTATATTTTAATTTATGGTTCAGTTGGTTGGTTAAGTTCGTCAATACGCTACGACGAACGAATGGATGTTCCCTCAATCGATAGTTTGTTTATAATACAAGACAAACAATTGAATAATCTATTGGCGCCAGTCGTGTACCTAATAATTGCAGTCGTAACGTAAGTAGTGGCGCACAGACTTAGCGCAGCGCATCATCTTTTGTAACTACCTATTTAGTAGTAAGTATATTAGGTGCGCTGCGCTACAAATTAGTATAGTATGATGTGCCAAATTGATTGAGAAAAACGAAAAATGACCTTTCGGTCGTTAAACCAGGGGTTACAAACCTTCAATATATAGGCACATTTTATATGTAGTACTTTCTTTATTTTTAATGATTTTTTATTTATTTTTTATAATGATTGATATAATATATATTTATTAACTATTATTAAAAAGTTATGTAAAAGATAGCTGTAGAATAAAAATCATCTATTGTTCAAAGTACTTAATTCATTTAACAACAAAAAGCATTAATTTATAATACATAAAGATTCGTGTGAGTGACAACGTAACGTAACGACGAATGAGTACGTACTTATTCAAAAGATAAAACTTTATTTTCAATATTATATAAGAACTTTGTTTTTATTCGGGGCAATCATCACTCGTATCTTCACTTGATGTGTATTCAGATGAACTGTCTGTAACATTAATTATAAAGCGATCTGCGGTTTGGTCAATTCTATCATCCATGCCACGCATTTTTGTTCAACCTTAACGACATGCTGAATACAGTTTTAAAAGAGAAAAAAAGACGTGTGGCACTCGGGGACTGCCGCGGTAAAGCTATTGCATAGCATTTTGTATCAACTTATGCAATTATAATTATTAATATAAGGACTACGTAAATATTCAGTACAGCAAGATTGGAAGAAAAATTACGTCTAAATATTTTTTCGTATTTAGTAAACGAATAACTAGTTGGTAAATTAATCATGATATATATCTTTTTTTTTTCGCCGGAGACTAAAATGATATTGCTTTTTTTCGTAACTGCAGATTCTGTGGATTTATTTCATTATTTTGAACAATATACG